TTACTATTATTTCACAGCCATCAATTTCACTTCGGCCTAATTGCTTCTGCAGGACTGTGAGCCGACTCATTTCTGGGATCCATCGGCACAGGAGGGGCCAGATCTTTCTCCGCTAAAACCATTGCCCTACAGACCCAGCTGTCCCCACGCCTCTATTTTTCGGGTCAAGTCTTAATCCCTGCACCTAGGTTGGTCCTCCCTCTCCACCCCCACCACCTCCTGTCCCTCTGGCAACTGGAAAGAGAGAGTTGACCTGATTTTAAGCCTTTTGCCGCTCCAGGGACCAGCGTCAACCCTGGGCAGCCAGTGTCTCTTGTAGAGAAGACTTAGGATACCTCTCTCACTTGCTGTTTCTTGCCACCCACCCTGAGCCATCCCAGTGTGTCCCTCTGGGTCCCTGCAAAACTCTAGTCAGTTCAAGGATGCCCCTCCCAGGTTATGCTTTTCTATAACTTTTAAATAAACCTCGGGGAGTGATGGAGTCATTCCTGCCTGTTATGTTTCATGATGAGGTGCAAGTTGCTGCTGCCCCACCCTGGGGTGAAGCCAGTGCGATCTTTGCCACCCCAAGCTCTCCTAACAGACAGCTCTCGAGGGGCCAAGCAGTAGCCGCTGGCTGCAAATTGCACTTCCCAGCTGGTGACCTTGAAACAATTTGTCACTCTCTGGTACCTCTCAGCTTGTCTGTAGAATAAGGGTCACTGCGCTCGCTCTGCTTAGATTCCAGGGCTGTGGTGAGTCCAGCTGATGGACACAGAAGCCCTCTGCAAGCTCTTATGGGCTGCCTGGAGGCCACTGGTAAGTTAGGTGGGCCAGGAGTGGACCAAGGACAGAGCTCTGGTGCCAGGCGCTAGTGACAATTCTGCAGGTGGAGGCCTGAGTCACCACCTGATGATGCTGTCTTCGGTCCTTGGCAACCTGAGTTTCCATCACGACAGAGAATGATCTGGATGAAAACCAACGCACATTGGCTGGGCACAGTGGCTCACATGTGTCATCCCAGGACTTTGGGAGGCTGAGATGAGTGGATCACCTGAGGTCAGGAGTTCAAGGCCAGCCTGGCCAATATGGTGAAACCCCATCTCTACTAAAGATGGAAAAATTAACCAGGCGTGGTGGCGGGCGCCTGTAATCCCAGCTACTCGGGAGGCTGAGGCAGGAGAGATGTTTGAATCCGGGAGGCAGAGCTTGCAGTGAGCCGAGATCGCACCACTGCCCTTCAGGGTGACAGAGTGAGAGTCTGTTTCAAAAAAAAAGGAAAACCAAGCACATCATCTCTTAGGGGACACCCTGGTGGTTTGGGGTCAGGGACTGGGATGAAGTTGCAGAAGAAATGCAGTCACGTTCAGTGTTCAGGCTCCACCACACACTATGTGGGTGATCCAGACAGGTTCCACAAGCTCTCTCAGCCTCAATTTTGCCCCCCTGGGAAATGGGGGTGATAATACTGCCTGCCTCATAGCGCTTTGTTGGGGACCAAATACACTGTGATGTGTAACATGTACAGCACACAGTATATGCTGTGTATTTATTAACACAATGAATATCCTGGCCATTGGAGTTCCCCTGGAACCAGGAAGGGTAGTGTGGGGGCTGATGGCCCGGGAACATGCCCACCTTTTTTTTTGAGACAGAGTCTCCCTGTGTCACCCAGGCTGGAGTGCAATAGTACAATCTCCGCTCACTGCAACCTCCACTTCCCAGGTTCAAGCGATTCTCCTGCCTCAGTCTCCTGAGTAACTGGTATGACAGGCATGCACCACCAACCCTGGCTAATTTTTGTATTTTTAGTAGAGATGGAGTTTCACCAAGTTGGCCAGGCTGGTCTTGAACTCCTGCGACTGGAGTAACTGGGGGTCCCCCAGGGCTGGCAGCAAGAGCCCAGGCAGAAGGCTGGCTCGCCTGAGGTTGCCGTGTAGCATATTCACCTCTTCCTTGGTTTGGGGTTCACCCTGATCAGCTGTCACTGCTGGGGATCAGTCCTTCCCCAGTTCGCAGAAGCCCCCTGTCTCTGACAGCCTGTACGGCCCATTGAGCCTCCAGACTAAAGCAACTGCAGCTGCACCTTCCAGCCGCTAAGGCCTGGCCCCGTGGCCCTTTTCTTGTCGCTACCTCGCATTGATTGGACACCCAGGAGTCCTGCCACGTTGGCTCACCACTCCGCTGGTAGGTCCATGGCCTCGGCCGCCTCCGCCCCAGCTGGCAGGGAGCCTGAAGCCACGGAGGTGACCGCATGCGAAGAAAACCTTGGCTCAATTTCCCCGGTCAATGACGTAGCGGACCGGCTCAGACGCCTCCAGGGCCGCCCGGAGTCCACAGATGCGCTTTTGCCCGGCCCAGGTGTGACGAGGTTCCAGGACAGGTCAGCAGGCCGTCGAGTCAAGTGCCAGGCTCACTGGAAGAAAGGCCAGAGTGTGTGGTCAGAGCGCCCAACGATTAATCCGATGTGGAGTGGTAGGGGTCCTGGGATTGTGGACCCAAAGAGGAGAATTTTGACCAGTCTCTAAATGTGAAGGGAAAGAGCCATAAAAAGGACATGAATCATGTCATTTGCAGCCAATGGATGCAGCTGGAGGTCAATTATCCGCAAAAATCATGCTAATTATGGAGAAAACAGAAGACCAAATACGGGCGTGTTCTGCAGTTATAGTGGGAGCTAAAAATTAGCTTAACCCGTAGACACAAAGATCGGGGAAGAACAGACAATAGGACTACTAGAGCAGGGAGAAGGCAGGGAACAAGGTTGAAAAAATGAGCCATTGGGGAGCAGGCGCCGTGGTCACGCCTGTAATCAGCATTTGGAGAGGGCGAGCAGTGGTGGAACACCAAGTCCAGAGTTTCAAGACCGCCTGACCGGATACGATGAAGTCCTGTCTCTGCTAAAGAATACAAAAATTAGCTGGCGTAGTGTGTGGGCGCCTATAGTCCCAGCTATTTTGGGAGGCTGAGGCAGAGAATCGCTGAACCCAGTCGAGGTGAGGTTGCAATGAGCTGAGATTCACGCTACTGCACCCAGGCCTGAGGGACAGAGCAAGACTGTCTCAAAAATAATAATAATAATAAATAAATTAAAGAAACTACCATTTAGGAAACTATGTTCACTGCTTGATGAGGGATCCAGCAGGAAGCCCAAAGCTCCTCCATCATCCAATATACCCATCCTATTAATAACAAAACGCTGTACCCTCTGAATTCTAAACGGAAAAATGCAGGCTGGCACAGGGGCTCATGCCTTATGAATTCCAGCACTATGGAGGCTGTGGCAGGAGCTGGAGGCCAGGATTCTTTGTTTCTTCTTTTCTTTTCGTTTCTTTTTCTGGGGAGCCCACAAGGCCTTCTGCTTCCCCAGGCACGAGATCTGCCTCGCCCAGCCCGAGGGCAGGATCTGCTTACTTCAAGAACTTGCCAACAGGCAGGCAGACTTAACCCAAAATAACTTTATTATCGTCTCCACTTTGATATAAAAGCATTCTCCAAATGGAGGGCAAATGCGGCAAGTCAGGTGGGGTCTGGGCCCCCTGCACACCCTTCTGCTCCGAGGGATAAGCCCTGTGCCCACCCCAGTTGCCCACTGCCATGTCCTGCCAACCACCCCCCACCCCCAACCAGAGCAAGCCACAGTGCAGTACAGAAGTGAAAGCCTGAGATGGACCAGACACGGTCACCACAGGGCCTCTTCCTGACCTTGGCTGTGGGGCGGGGGGTGCACATTGCAGCTTCTTCTTGTCTCCAGGAAAGACTGAGGTGCACATTGGCAGCTCTTCTCTGTCTCCAGGAAAGACTGGAGTAACGGGGGTCCCCCCGGGCTGGCACAGAGGCCCGGCAGAGGCTGGGCTCGCTTTGAGGTTGACGTGTAGCATTACTCTTCCTGAGTTTGGGTTCCCACCTGATCAGCGGTCACTGCTGGGGATCAGTCCTCACCAGTTCCAAAGCCCCCTTGCTCTGGACAGCTGTACGCCATTGAGGCTCTCCAGACTAAAGCAACGTGCAGCTGCAGCCTCAGCCGCTAAGGCCTGGCCGGTGGCCCTTTTTCTTTGCGAGTGCGCCACTTGATGTGGACAGCCCCAGGAGTCCTGCACTTGCTCACCACATCCAGCCTGGTAGGTTCCAGGCTCGGCCGCCTCCGCCCAAGCTGCCAGGGAGCTGAAGCCACGGAGGTGTACGCATGCGGAAGAAACCTTGCTCCATTTCCCCGGTGCAATGACGTACGGACCCGGCCCTCCAGACTCCAGGGCCGGCCGAGTCTCACGATGCGCTTATGGCCCGGCGCCCCAGGTTGGAAGGTTCAGAGACCCAAGGTCAGCAGGCCGTCGGAGTCAAGGGGGCCAGGCTGCAACTGGGAAAAAGGCCAGAGTGTGTGTCAGAGCCCCACGATTAAATCCGGCGATGTGGAGTGGGTAGGGTCCTGGGAATGTGGACCAAAAGAGAGATTTTTTGG